ACCGTCTTTTACTCCTCAGGGGAGACTGGAATGCAAATGTACCCTCGTGATGCCAGATTCTCTAGCTTCCTCAATTTTTTTCACCTACAGTCTACTTAGGGAGGAAAGAGAGATCTCGATACCCTCTTCTCCAATGCTTGGGAGCTTAAAGAGAGATTGTGAAGCAGAAAAAATCTGTCGGTTACTCGGAAAACAAGTTGCAGTCTAGGGGCGGGGCACCTTGCCAACATTAGCTCCTCCTAGTTCCACCTAGTGGACAAGAAGAAACTGACACATGGGCTCCAAGCCAACCAAGGCACATCCAGATCCTTGGCATCTTTGCTGTTTGCACATTAGGAGCCCTTGTGCGCAATGAAGCTAGAAATGCCAGATAAATAACAGTACAGCCTCAATAATAGAAAAGAAAGCCAAGGGCTAATTTATGTCACCATAAGCTTCAAGTTAGTAATGAATATCCTTCTACCTCAACCATCCCAAATACAGGAACCAGGAGAATGTGTGATGCTGCAGCCCTTCCACGCTGATTGTATTAGTGGCTTTCAAAGGTGTTTTTTTTTTTTTTTAAGAGATTTATTTATTTATTTGAAAGGCAGAGTTACAGAGAGGCAGAGAAAGAGAGAGACATCTTCCATATACTGGTTCACTTCCCAAATGGCCACAATGGCCAGAGCTGGGCCGATCTGAAGCCAGGAGCCAGGAGCTTCTTCCAGGTCTCCAATGTGGGTGCAGGGGCCCAAGGACTTGGGCCATCCTCCACTGCTTTCCCAGGCCAGAGCAGAGAGCTGGATCGGAATTGGAGCAGCTGGGATTTGAATCAACCCCCATGTGGGTTGCTGGCACTGCAGGTGGTCACTTTACACACTATGCCACTGTGCATTCATATGGGTGCTGGTTCTAGTCCCGGCTGCTCCTTTTCCAGTCCAGCTCTCTGCTACGGCCTGGGAAAGCAGTGGAGGGTGGCCCAAGTCCTTGGGCCCCTGCACCCGCATGGGAGACCTGGAAGAAGTTCCTGGCTTCAGGTTGATGCAGCTCTGGCTGTTGTGGCCATCTAGGGAGTGAACCAGTGGATGGAAGCCCTATCTCTCTCTCTCTCTCCGCCTCTGTCACCGTAACTCTGCCTTTCAAATATTAAATGCTAAAGTCTTCCCCCATTTCCTCCATAACAGAACTTAGAGTACCAGCAAAGGGTGGTCTGACCCATGCTTCCCTGTAGGCTACGGATTTGGACACAAGCAGAGTGCGTGCGCCACCGGTACACATTCAAGTGGGGGGGGGGGCAGGAAAGCAAAGACAGGCAATAGGACCTCTCCAAACTTGGAATGAGAGCGCAATCCCATTCCGTATTCTCCAGTCTTCTTCCTACTGATCTTCTCTGAAGGGCCCTAGCTCTGAAAACTGCAGGATGAGGAAACCCTTGCTGTTGTCAAATTCTAATTTCTCGTGTGCTGAGAATGGTAGGTCCACCTCAGCTCCCCTTCAGGGGAAGCAAACTAGCAGATCGGGGACAGTGGAAGTATGATCAGTAGATCTGGAGCGACAATGAACATCCAGGACCTGTCTCTGGTGCTGGGGTTTGTAATGCAAGGCTACTTTATCAGAGGTCCCCTCTAAGATGAAGTGTCGCCCAAATCCAAGCTCTCGGTACTACAGCGCTCCCACTCAGGGCTGTGCGCTACTCTCACCTCGCGTCCGTGTGAGCCACAGAGGCCACCATCCAAGCAAAGCAGACAAGGCAACTTTGTAAAGGTGCTGTGCTATCCACTTCCCAGATCATAGCTCATTCTCGCATGGTGGGGACGGAGCACCCTCACGCTCCAACTCAGGTCATCTCAGTGCCACAGGACAAAAGCAAAGTGAGCAGAAGCCGTCTGTAGCCCTTGCGACATCAGCACTTCTCAACTTGGGCTGCTCCTTGGCAAGTTTCAGTAAACAAGTAAGTCTTTAAAAAGAAATGGTAAGGAAGGACAGTACTTTAAAAGAGTATTTATCCTTGGGCCCTGCACCCCATGGGAGACCAGGAGAAGCACCTGGCTCCTGCCATCGGATCAGCGCGGTACGCCGGCCACAGCGCGCTGGCCACGGCGGCCATTGGAGGGTGAACCAACGGCAAAGGAAGACCTTTCTCTCTGTCTCTCTCTCTCTCTCACTGTCCACTCTGCCTGTCAAAAAAAAAAAAAAAAAAAGTATTTATTTGAAAGGCAATGTGACAGAGAGAAAGAGCGAGCTTCCATTCACTGGCTATGCTCCCCCAAATGGCCCCAACAGCCAGGGCTAGGCCCAGCTAAAGCCAGGCGCCTGGCATTCCACCCAGATCTCCCACATGAGTAACGGGCCCAAGAACCTGAGCCATCTTCCACTGCTTTCTCAGGTGCATTGGCAGGAAGCTGGATCCCACGCGGACCAGAAGGGACTCCTATGGGACGGCCATGTCACAGGCAATGACTTAACTGCTGTAGTGCACCACCAGTTCCTCAACTGCAGTTTTTTACTGGACGTTTTGAGTTCTCCATTTCTCAGATTTGTTTGGCTCCTCTTCCAGATCTGTCAATGCCGTTATGCATTCATTCCCTAATTTCACTTAACCATCTGGAGTCTCTTGCATCTCCTTAAGGATCCTCATAGTCATTCTGTTTTATCAGGCCTTTCACAGTCTCGTCTTCATAGTCTCTACTAAAGCTTCACTGTGTTCCTTTGGGGACAGCACACTGCCTGGACGTCCACACTTGTGCCCCCTGTTGATTTCCCTGCAGCTGGCAGATCATTGTTTCTACCACTTTTTAACATCTGGCGTGTGTGGCCCGAAGGCCTTTTTCCAAAGTTGTGTCTTATGGGGTCAGTTTGGTAGGCTACTTTGGCGTTAGCTCCGGTTGGACTCTGCAGTCTTTGTAGAACACCTTTTTTGCTGTAGTGGATGGTAACAGTTCTGGAGCGCTAGGGCACTCATAGAGCCCTTTGTTTTGTTTTTAAAGATTTATTTATTTTGAAAAGCGGAGCAACAGAAAAAGAGAGAGGTTTTCCATCTGCTGATTTATTCCTCAAATGTCCCCAATGGCTGGGGCTGGGCCAGGATGAAGGCAGGGACCCAGAACTCCATCCAGGTCTCCCATGTGGGGGGCAGGGACTCAAGCACTTGGGCTATCATCTGCTACTTTCCCAAGCACATTAGCAGGAAGCTAGATCAGAAGTGGAGGTTGGACTTGAACCTAGACACTTTGATACAGGATGTGGGCATCCCAAGTGGTGACTTAAGCCCCCAGTGGGCTTCTGATCACATCTAGTTTCATGGAGTGCCACAATACCAGCCCTGAAATGAGGTTCCGTCTCCCTTCCACTAGAGGGTGCACTCTTACCAGCAGCCTTGGGAGCCAGTAGGTTCCTAGGTGCTTTATCACGGGTCAGTTTGCAAGCAGTCTGCTTTGTACAAAACAGGGCATAGCGAGTGACCGCCTCCCTCTTTTGGCTGGAGCTCAGTGAGCTGGAGGCAACGCTGGAGTTGAAGTGCAACAGCCACACATGGCAGATGCAAGCACAATTCACTCTGAATCCTTTGGAGAGCTCACTCAGCCAGCTTGCCCTTCTCTTGCTCTCTACGTTAGCAGCTGGCTAGAAAGAAACACTACGGCCATTGAGGGTGCGCCAATCAGAGGGCACACAAAAGTTAAGGCTGTAAATCCCTCTCCCTGCATCGTTACTTTGCCCCCCACAGCTGCATCTTGCGTCTGTTTTTTAAGTTTTTAAGTTACCCATGTAGGTCAAGAGTATCATTAGGGACAAGCGTTTGGACTCACAGGTTAGGACACCTCTTAGGACACCTGCATCCCATAATCAAAGTGCTTGACTCAAGTCCGAGATCTGGGTGTCCTGGGGGGCAGCAGATGATGGCTCAAGTACTTGGGCCCCTGCCACCCCCATGGAAGGCTCAGACTGGGTTCCAGGCTCCGGGTTTTGGCTCAGCCCAGCCCTGGCCGTTGCATACATTTGAGGAGTGAACCAGTGGATGGAAGATCTATCTTTCAAGTAAAGTGAAAACAAATAAATAAAAAATTTTAATGTCTCTTCAGAAACAGTAAAGGCAGGCACAAGCATTGTTATGCAGCACATAGTAGTGACAACACGTATCAGGTAATATATCAAGTTAAATTTGTTCCAAATTTGATTATAACACATTTTTGTTTCCTGAGGTCTGAGCAAACAAGTATAGGAATCAGTGTTGCTAACTTGGTCAGACACTGATAACTTTTAAAAATTAAAAAGGAGGGGCCTGTATTGTGGCCACCACTGCAAGGCCAGCATCCCGTAACAGAGCACCAATTCAAGTCCCAGCTGTTTTGCTTCCAATCCAACTCCCTGCTCAAGTGCCTGAGAAAGCAGCGAGAAAATGGCCCAAAGTCCCTGGGCCCTGCCACCCACAAGGGAGACCTGGATGGAGTTCCTGGCTCCAGGCTTCAGCCTGGTTGTTGCAGCCGTTTGGGGGAATAAACCAGCAGATAGAAGATCTCTTTCTGTCTCTTTCTCTTTCTGTGTTACTCTGCCTTTCAAATAGATATATACAAACTTTTTTTTTTTTTTAAGATTTATTTATTTATTTGAAAGTCAGAGTTACACAGAGAGAGGAGAAGCAGAGAGACAGAGAGGTCTTCCATCCGCTGGTTCACTCCCTAATTGGCCGCAACGGTCGGAGCTGGCTCCAGGAGCCAGGAGCTTCTTCCGGGTCTCCCACGCAGGCGCAGGGGCCCAAGGACTTGGGCTATCCTCTATTGCTTTTCCAGGCCATAGCAGAGGGCTGGATCGGAAGTGGAGCAGCCACAACTTGAACCAGCGCCCATATGGGATGCTGGCACATCAGGTCAGGGTGTTAACTCGCTGCGCCACAGCACCGGCCCCATGTATACAAACTTCAAAAATTAAAAAAGGAATTTTACTCCCAGTACTCTTCCTGTGCCAAACACAGGGGATAAAATACCTACTAGGAACAGAACAGAAAAAGGCAAAGCCAGACATGTTGTCTACTTGAGTTTATTCTTGTTCTTTAAAAAACAAAACAAAAAAGAGGTGAGGGATGGAGGGGGCTATAATCCATAAACACCTTGAACAGGAACCAGGACTCGGAGATTTGGGCATACTCCCTCTACCCACAACCTCAGTTCTCGGACAGACTCCCACCCACCCAATTTTCTTTTAAACAAGACACCCGAATCAGCAGCAGAGGTATCTGGGGGTAGTCACTGAGGTCTGGAACACTGGGAATGGGCGGGGGAAAAGTCCAAAAAACAGGAATTGGGAAGATAGGGGAAGGAATGAGGGAGAGGCTAGGTCCTGGGGGACAGGCGGAAGTGAGCCAGGACGGGGGCACCCTCCTGCCTGCTGCCACCAGCATTTCCCCAGACCGCACAGCGCCCCGTGGTTTGTTCTGCAGTCCGTTTCCCACTGCCCAGAGGCCTCACAGGCCAAGCTCCAAGTCCTCCAGCTCCTCCTCCAGCGCCCTCCTCCTCGCCAGCTTCTCCAGCTGCTCTCTGCTGGGCTGGCTGACCTCCCCAGCCTGGATTCGCTGCTGCAGCTCCTCCACCTGACGGAGCTTCTTCTTTAGGTTCTTTATCTTCTTGGCTTTCTCGGTGGTGGCAGCTGGGTCGGGCTGCTCAGAGGCAGCTGTGGGGGCTGCCTGGGAGCCCTGTGGAGCACTGGGGGGTCGGGCTGTGTCTCCCACGGACACCTTCTCAAGAGTCCGGCTCAAGGCCTCTGCATCTCCTTTTTCTTGTTGCTGCCGCCTCTTCTCCTTCCGCTTCAGGTTGCGTTTGGCTGTCTTAGAGAGGCCTGGCTCACCACCTTCAGGCCTGGACGGGGCGGCAGGAGCAGTGGCCTCAGGGCTCAGCCCTGGGGGCAGTTCTGGTTTACTCTTGAAAAACTTGACATACTTGTTTTCATAGCTGCAGGAAAAGGGAGGTGTCAGCAGTGCAGAGAATCCCAGACTCTCCTAACCCCCCTACTAACCCTCCCAGTCACCGCACTCCCACCACATTCCTGCTTCCTCCCGCTCTGGAGGCCCCCCTCATTTGGAGGATCTGATGGACAGAGATCACGGGAATAGGACTGAGCACTGTGACCCTCCCTCGCCCCTGAATCCCCGGTCTGGAAGGAGTCGCCCTCTGTCCCTCCTTCTCCTTGCAGCTCCTTCAGTAGGGACCCCACCCAGCAGCCCTCCTCAAGCCTGACCACGCACACTGGGACCTCCTCCTGGGGCACGTAGCCTTCTTTGACCCTCCGCTGCTTGCGCCAGGTCCCGTCGGGTCGCTGTGTTGAGGCGATGTACTTGCCTGAAATGAGTGAAATTAAGATGGAGAGTTACTCTTTCTCACTTTTCAACACTGCCCCAAGATCACAGAACGCATGAACGTGCAGCCCTTCCCTCGGCTCAGCCATCCAGCACCTCTCCTCAGCATTCACTATTTCCTGAGTGTCTGCACACCGCACAACACACCTTCCGGCTCTCAACGGGCTTTTATTTTGATCATTTGGTTGGCAAGAAAGGAGAGACACAGATGAAGAATTTTTTTTTAAAACACAAGATGGCAGCAAGAAGACATTAATGAAGTAATGAACAAGAGGCTAAAAAGAGGCAAAACCAAGAACCATAGGGAGAAATGACCACAGATGATGCCATAGAGAACAGGAAATTTTATTTAGATGGACCCTGAAAACAGGTCAACTCCCAGGAATCCATACTACAGATATAAAAAGTACCAGTGCACAAGGATATATGTAAAGCAGGTTTGGCGATGCATTAACTGAATTAGCAAAAACCTGAAGGCAGCTTCAATGGCTATCCACAGTTGAATAACTATACAAATTTGGTTCATCCACACAATGGAGCACCTGCTGTTATTAAAAGAACAAGAGGGACTGGCACTGTGGCACAGTAGGTTAATCCTCTGCCTGTGGCGCTGGCATCCCATATGGGCACCGGTTCTAGTCCTGGCTGCTCCTCTTCCCATCCAGCTCTCTGCTGTGACCTGGGAAAGCAGTAAAAGATTGTTCAAGTCCTTGTGCCCCTGCACTCACATGGGAGACCAGAAGATCCTGGCTCCTGGATCCGGATCGGCTCAGCTCTGGCCGTTGCGGCCATTTAGGGAGTGAACCAGTGGATGGAAGACCTACCTCTCTCTCTGTCTCTCTCTGTAACTTTACCTATCAAATAAATAAAAATATTTTTAAAATGTATTAAAAAGAACAAGAGAGAAAAAGCACTGACATTGAATACTAGTCACGACATACCAAGTGGAAAAGTGAGTGGTGGGATAACGTATGGGGCCTTCAAGCTTTTCTGTTCCAGTACCTCTCTTACACTCTTATTCTGTAATACTGTGTATTTTGCTATGCAGTATCTTAAAAAAGGAGCATTTGTTAATCTTACCAGAACTGTCTGTAAGTACTGGAAAGCTGTCAAGGGCACAGTGGCAACTACAAGTTTTCCAAAATTCTAATTTTCAACTTGAGGGTTTGAATTTTATCATTGGCAACAAACTACCAGTTGTTTTCCTTGAAATGGCAAACTTAATTCCTGCACTTTCAGGAAAATTACCTTCAGATGCTGAGGTCTGAATTACCATAGTTTGTCAGTGTCCTTGCCAGTAAGGAAGATGTTCCATGGTAAGGAAGCTTATTGGGCTTGCGAACCTGACAGCGGTGCGAGGGCCTGTCCTTGAGACAACCCTCAGTGCGGTGGGCAGCACAGGTGTTTCATGCTTACTTTCCATTTAGTCGCAGAGAAGGTTAAAAAGAGGTGTACTCAGGGGCAGGGTTAATAAAACTAATCACTTCTGCTGCACCATCAATGACTTTTTTTTAAAAAAAGATTTAAGAGTCACAGAGAGAGCAGGAATGAGAGAGAGAGAGAGAGAGAGAGAGAGAGAGAGAGAGAGAGAGAGGAGCAATACCTTCCATCTGCTTGTTCACTCCCCAGATGGCTGCAACGGCCAGTGCTGGGCCAAGCTGAAGCCAGGAGCCAGGAACTTCATCCCAGTCTCCCAGATGGGTGGCAGGGGCCCAAGCACTTGGGTCATTCTCTGCTGTTTTTCCCGGGCCAGCATCCGAGAGCTGGATTGGAAGTGGAGCAGCCAGGACACGAACTGGTACCCATATGGGATACAGGAGTTGTAGACAACAGCTTTACCCCTTACAGCACAATACCAGCCCATCAGTGACATTCTTAAGTGAAATTCCAAGTGTGTGGCAGTGAAGAGCACAATGACTGGTAGAGTCTGGTGCCGCCATCTTGCCAAAGGCATGCTGATGGGAGAGCAGTTTTACCCGCTATGTCTTTTGTAACATCGGTGCAGATGTCAACCCAATGAAAAAGGGAAATAAATCTGTTTTATTATAAAAACTGTTGTAGAACTCCTGAAATGCTCTTAGGAATACCCCAAGGGTCAGACAACCCTTTGAAAATTGCTAGTATAGCCCATGGTCCCCATTTTGTTGGCACAAGGGGCAGTGCCTAAAGGTCTAGTGTAGCTCAGACACAGGGACAAAGACAGAGGTATGGAAGGACATAGCAAGCCTCGAATGCTGGTTACTTTCAGAGGGACAACCTGGAAGAACAGCTGATAGGAGCCACTAACATATATATGTTTTGGGGCCGGTGTTGTGGTGTAGCAGGTTAAGCCATTACCTGCAATGCCAGCATCCCATGTGGGCACTGGTTTGAGTCCCAGCTGCTCCACTTGTGATCCAGCTCTGCTATGCCCTGGGAAAGCAGTAGAAGATGGCCCAAGTCCTTAGGCCCTTGTACCCACATGGGAGACCTGGAAAAAGCTCCTGGCTTCTGCCTTTGGATCGGCCCATCTCCGGCCGTTGTGGCCATCTGGGGAGTGAACCAGCAGATAGAAGACTTCTCCTCTCTGTACCCTATCTCTTCTGTCTCTCCTGTACTCTCTCTGTAACTCTGCCTTTTAAATAAATAAAGCATTTTTTAAAAAACATATATATGTTTTGTACTACTCTTTTTTCTTTTGTGAAAATACAGAAAACAAGAGGTTTTTTTGTTTGCTTGTTTGTTTTTAAGTCACAGCAGGTGTTGCAGAATGGCAGGTTAAGCTCACTTCTTGGGATGCCCGTACAATACATCACAGCGCCTCATTCAAATCCAGTTTACTCCAGTCCAGTTTCCTGTTAATGCACCTGGAAAGACAACAGGTGACAGCCCAGTACTTGGGCCCCTCACACCTATATGGGAGACAGATGGAGCTTCTGGCTCCTGGCTTCATCAATCTGGCTGTTGTAGCTATTTGGAGAGTGAATCAGCAAATGGAAGATCGATCTCTCTTTCTCTCTCTCTCTGTCTCTCTCTGCCTTTCAAATAAACAAACACATAAATCTTTCTTAACAAGTAAAAAATAAAAGTTAGGGCTGGCATTGTGGCATAGCAGGTTAAGGTGCTGCCTGTGATGCCAGCATCCCATATGGGTGTGGGTTCCAGTCCTGGCTGCTCCACTTCCGATCTAGCTCCCTGCTAATGAGCCTAGGGAAGCAGTAGAAGACAGCCCAGTCCTTAAGCCCCCAGACCCACTTGGGAGACCCAGATGGAGTTCCAGGCCACTAGCTTTAGCCTGGCCCAGCCCCAGCTGTTGTGGCCATTTGGGAATAAACCAGCAGATGGAAGCTCTCTCTCCCTGTCTTTCCCTCCCTCTAACTCTGTTTTTTAAATAAATAAATCTTTTAAAAAGTTATAAAAATAAAAGTCAAGTACAGTACATCCCATGTGGATTATATAATCCACATTTATTAATATTAAATAAATTGGTATTCTTTGTTTAAAATGCAAATATCACTAATAAATTATAATAAAAATTCAATAATTATTCCCTTAATTCATTGTTTAAAACTCTCTTAGTTTATTTTCATTTTATTTTAAAGGCAGAGAGAAAGAGAGAAATCCTCCACCTGTTGGTTTACTTCCCGAATGCCCACAATAGCCAGGACTGTGCCAGGATGCAGCCAGGAGCCAGGAACACCGTCCTGGTCTCTCAGCTGGTGGCAGGGATCCAAGTAATTGAGTCATAACCCGTGTGCCCCCTTCACACACCATGGTGTTCATCAGCAGGAAGCTGGGTTGGAAGCAGAGCAGAATCTAACTCAGGCAATCCTATATGGGATGTAGGTTTCCAAGTGATACCTTAACCACTGCATGAAACGTCAGCCTCCAAAACAACAATAACAACAAAAATTGTTAAAGAAAATAGGCAAGATTTGACAGGTGGACAAGATGGAAGAAAGAAAAAAACATGAGCAAGGAAAGACACGGATGTGGGGATGGCATGGAACAGAGTGGAAAGGGTCAGGTGAAGAGTTCACCTTCGGAGTAGGAAGCCAGGCTGGAAATAAAAAAATGGGCCAGACCTAAGAAAACCTTGAAAACAAGGTCAAGAGGCCTGCACCTTCTCTGAACCACTGAGGGTACGCGGAGGACTTCTTACCCAGCAGTGGCAGTGCAGGGCAGCAGTGAAAACAAAGCATGCAGCAGCTGGCAGGCTGAGACTGGAGCTGGGCTGGAGGAAGACGGGTCAAATTACAGCAAATGAAAACATAATGCATTCAAAATAGAAGCCCATTTAAAAACAAAATTCCAGACATGGGAAGGTAGAGGGATGACACTCTCAGAGACGGAAAACAGGGCAGTCTGGCTGAGTCAGGGGAAGGACTGGTACAATGACTGGGAGGATGTTCACACTCTCAGAGCCAGAGAAGGAGTTTCGAATCTGGCACATGCATGCAGCATGCAATAAATATTTGTCGTATGAATGACTCCTTTACCCAGAAGTTTTTGATAAATGAATGAATTCTATATCCAAAGCAATGTTTTAAGGGCAAATAATCTGTTAAGGTAAAAAGGCACATTGGAAAAAAAAAATTGGGGACTGGGGAAGCAAGTTAGGAAAAAAAAAATATTGCAATAATCCTGGCTTGGAGAGGTAGACTGGTGGAAACAATGAAAATGAAAAGGACGAGACTGATGCCAGCTATACTGTCAAAGAACTGACAGCACATGGTAAGTAATACACTGACGAGGGGAAGGGTGAGAGGGCTAGATGTGAGCGATCATTCAAGACACTCTGTTTTAGTAATCCCAATCTTGAGAATTTAGTATAAATAGTTCCAACATGAAAAAAAAAATTAAGGAAGAGATAATTATGTGAAAATTACAGCATTATCTATAAACAGCTAAAGAATTTTTTAAGATTTGTTTACTTATTTGAAATGCAGAACAACAGTCAGGGAGAGACAGAGAGCTTCCATCTGCTGGTTCACTCCCCAAAAG